GGTCTGAAGGAATTCCCAGCCAACAATCTGGCTGCTGCAATTTGGACAATTGAAGCTTCAATAGCATCAAAATGCACTGGGAAATCAATGAGAACAAGCAGGATGGAACTTCCTGCATCTCTTTCCTGATAAATGTTATCAACCAGGGTGACCAAGGCAGTTTTTGTGTCTTGACCAGGCCTTAAACGATACTGGAATGGATCCAAGGAAACATATCTGCTAAAAAAATTCTCAGTAGCCATCAGCCAGGCACAACCCACCTTAAGCAGGTTGCATGCCTTCATTTTTTGTATTGTCTATTCTCCCATACCAAAGATGAATATATTTTTTCATCAGTAATTAACCTCCACTCCAAAACACTGACACCTATCTCCTATATTTAGGTGAAAGTTGACATTTGAAGGTTTAATAAATAGAACTCTAAGAACACGTGGTTGTAATTTTAATTAATAATATTTCAATCCTACTGTACTTAGAAGAAAGTTCTACTTAATGAGGCTGAAATAAGAGTGCAAAGGTTTGCAACCTCACTTAGTCAAGTAACTTTCAATATCACACGTTCCAATCTAACACAATGCATTCAAACCAGAATTAGTTGATAAGTAATCACTCCCATGTTATCATCCAGCAGTGACCCCCCCCCTAAAAATAAGTCCCAGAAAATGTAGTAGGGGATTGATTTGAGACCAGGTATCAACATAAAAAAGTTTAAAGTTCTAGTGTGGAATGTTGTTCATTGTGAGATATAGAAGACAAATCAAGACTCATATAAAGGAATTATCTTTCATGTAACTTTATAGGTAACAACCAGCACTTTGAATTGTGCCTGAAAACAGACTGGTAGTCAGTGGAGCTGTTCTAACAAGGGAGCCTGCAGATTTTCTCTTCTACCTTCCAACTGATTAAGATCACCTCTGTCTTGTCTCTATTAAGTGATTTACAAGCAAACAAATAGACATACAAAAAAACAACAATCATGGATATAATAAAACCACGAGGAAAAAGAAATACATTAAAAACACCCTGCCCAACTCTAAAAGGCCACAGACAAAGGCCCAAACTTTTTTTAAAAAAAATGCCTACTCCAAAGGTCTTCTCTTACTACACTAAGGATTATATAGCTATATATGAAATTTCATGTATATGAGTTAATATCTTGACCCTCCTCCGCGAAAATAGCTGTTTACTTGGCCGTTTTCCTATGTCGTGAAGGCTGAAATTTCACTTCAGGCCTACTTTCCGGGCTACTGGGGAAGCCTGCCAAGGCCACTGCCTGTCCTGCGCACCCCCTTTGGGCTTCAATCCCCCTCCAAAAAGCCTCTGCTGCCCCCGAAAGTGGAGTGAGCTGGACAATGGCAGCGCTGCCACTCATTTTGCCCATGCGTGGCGCCAGGATGAGCAACTCAGTGCTGCCCTGGGCGCTCGGCAGGCCGGCCTCCCCTTTGCCCCCAGCCTCCCCTGCATGAAAGTAGAATCCGCCTCCCTCCACTATTCCCCATCAGTCTCCCCTGCATGAAGCTAGGAACCCCAAAAAAAACAGTTGTGTAATTCAAAGAAGATAAGAAAAATCAGCAAAGCAATTCTGTGGCTAATTGACCAATTTCTTTAAATAGGATCTATTAATGAAGTTCACACTTTTGACAACCAGTCTGATGCTTTTGCAGAAAAATATTCCTAGACACAAGACTTTTATTTTAAAAAATTTTTTAAGTGGACTTTGGTACTCTTTTGTCCTCCCCCATGTCTTTCTCTCTGTCTGAGCTGGCTCCCTGTCTGTAATGTAACATGCGGGGAAACCAGTGTGGGGTTCCTCACTGTGTAAAGTCTTCAAGATGTTCCTGCACGCGCCTGACAAATCTGACCCATTGTCAAAATTTATCTTTTCCCCCACCTCCAGTCTCCGTTGTTGTGTGTCTTGGTTGAGGGGAAAAACAGAAGACAGATAGCCATCAGTCAGGGATGGTCTAATTGAGATTCCTGCATTGCACCAGGGGTTTGGCTAGATGACCCTCAGGGGTCCCTTCCAAATATATAATTCTCTGGTGCAGGCTTCTGCAGAGTTTTAGGTAAAATCATTTTTTTCAGGGGGGGGGAAACCGCCCCAAACAAACAATGTTGGGGGCGGGGTGACAAGAAATTTTCTGCACCGGGTACCACTTGACCTTCCTATGCTTCTGCCTGTATCTAAAGATATATATTGATGGTGCCAGGAGAGACTCCCTAAGGAGAGCAGTCCACAAATGGGGAGCCACCACAGAAAAGGCCCATACTTGTGTTGCCACCCTCCAGTGGAGGGGCACATTAAAAAGAACCTTATGTCTGGGTCGCTTCATATTGGAAGAGGCGATGCTTGGAGAGTTAGCAGTTTCAGAATGAACGTAATATATGCTGCTTTCCAAGATTCTGGCAATTTTCCAGTACTCAAAGAGCAAACTAAATCCTTCCCCATCCCTTTGTACATGTGGACAAACAATCTGTCACAGAAAAATAACTGATGCCATGCAATGTACTCACCTGCCTTTGCAATACTCCCCATGGTCTGCACAGTCAATGGACCTGCTTTGCAGGAGGTTGGACCAGATGACACCCAAGATTCCTTCCAGCTCTACAATTTCATAATCCCATGACCTTGGAATTATTAAATTTATATACCACCCTTCATCCGTAGATCTCAGGGCAGTTGACAACATAAAATTGCAAGATAAAAACACAATACATATAATAAAAACAATAATGGATACACAACCTCCTTTCTCACCACCCTCACCCCCTCCAACAAACACATATAAAAAGCTATAGGGTGTTAATCAGTCCAAGACCTGCTTGATGAATAATGTTTTCATCGCACACTAAAGGTGTATAATGAAGGCATCAGTCAAACCATCCTAGGAAGAGCATTCCACAAATGAGGAACCACTACAGAACTTTTGTGGAGGTGGCACAAGAAGAAGGGCCTCAGATGACAATCACAGGATCCAGGTAGGTTCAGAAAGAGATAGGTGGTCCTTGAGGTATTGTGGTCCTAAGGCTATATGGGTCAAAATTAGTACTTTGAATTGGGCCCATGCAGCCATGTGTGTTCATTTTGTCAATGCATAGAATGATTTATGTGAAACCCCAAGGAATTGAAACTTTGTTGAAACATACACAGAGTCAAAATTTAGGACTGAAAATCTTTCTTCCTGACGTTATGCAATGGGCACACTGTGTGGTGTAAAGGTTAGAGTGTTGGACTAGGAACTAGCAGGGTTTGAATCCTTACTCAACCATGAAGCTCACTGGGGGACCTTGGAGAAGTCACCATCTTATAGCCTAACCTACCTCACAGGATTGTTGTGAGGATGAAATGGAGGGGAGGAAAACTATGTACACCACGTTAAGGTCCTTGGAAGATAAAGGTGTTATATAAATGTATTAAAGAAATGAACAAACATATATAGTATTGGATAAATACATATTGTTAATAATTTAAAAATTGTAGTAATGACAACAATAAATGGCACAAGCAAGAATTTGAAGTGATCCAATAGAAAAAGATATTCCCATCATGATAACATTGAGCCTTAGATTTCTTGGCCTTTAAGCGAGTGGTCTGTTTGTGTGAATTTAACTCTAGTCCGGGAGAAAAGGAGTGTACAACTTTCTGGCTAAGTGCCACTGGCCATTTGTTACTCCTCAGAAAAGAAAATATAGCTGTAGAGTTCAGGTAGAAAAATACACGTAGTACTTTTGTTATTCATGGCACAACTTCAAGGAACACCAATACACAGGGGAGATTTTAATCACACCAATCATTGTCAAAATTATTGGCATCCATCCTCTTAAACAATGGAAGCACAGATGTCTTCAGCAAGATCAACAATCAGAATCTGGAAAAGAACATATAAATACCATGATTATTTCCCCTATACATGTTAGAGTAAGTTTCTCATCAACTGATTCTGTCACAATTTTAAGTGCCAAAAAGTATAGTGGGAATATTCCTGTCCTCATCCTTTCTCCTTGCCAACTGAATAATCCAGTTCCGAAATATTTTCTAGGCAAATCTTCACCTCTTTGGTTAGGTATGAATAAAAGCACATGGACACATTCTGAACCATAACACCACCTCACTATAAGGAATTCCACATTCTTTTGGACAAACTCATGGAGAATCATCAGCGTTACACTTCCTTTATTTGTACACCAATGAAAACCTTTGATATTTCTACCTGAACAGGAACATAAGAAGGTTTGAATTCATACAGAGGGGAAAGTGCGGAGATAAATAGAGTATGCTGTTTGGAAATATTCATTAAAGAAAACCATTATTGAATATAAAAGCAGGAGATGGTTTACAGATACCATTAGATACATCCACGTCAGTCTGTAGGTAAAAAGAAAATAGCTACATATACTGCTGTAGATGTAAACATGAGAATGTACATTTGGAGGTGAAACTTTTTCAACAGGAACATGCTTCTGGTGGTGTTGCTGCTTGTTCTTCTGTCTCATGCTGTATGCAAGAAGTATTCCATTAACTGCAGCATATATGATGATCCTCTCCCTATTCCACATGAATTTTACCAACCAGGTGACCTCATCATTGGGGAGATGGTTTCCCAAGTCTTCTTAAACTATGAGACCCTCAGTTTCAAGGAACAACCTACACAGATCTGGGTCGATGAACCTGTGTAAGACAAATTCTGTTTTCTCTCCCTTTCAGTCTAAAGAATGTATTTTAAATCTCAATTCTTTATAAGTCCATTATTTTCTATCGTTCTAAAGTTTGCCACCATCTCGGAAACATTTGGATAAAAAATTCTGAAGAATACAAATGCATTTTTGTGGTGGTGGCGATTTTATTAAACAGTTGTCACCTTTATTACAGTTCAGTGCCTAAGAACTACCAGCACATCCTGGCCTTAGCATTTGCTGTCAAAGAGATCAATGAGAATCCCAACATCTTGCCAAACGTCTCTCTGGGTATCCGCATCCTCAATAGTTACTTGACTGCAAGAATGACTTATAAGGCCACACTGAGCCTGCTTTCCACACAAAAGATGTTTGTTCCCAACTTCACTTGTGACAAGCAGAACCAATTGATAGCTATCATTGGCGGATGTTTCTCTGAGATCTCTGTCAATATGGCTTTCATTTCAGCCACCCACAAAATTCCACAGGTAAGCTGTGTGTATGAGGGTATGAAGCATGCACATATGGCATAGTATCTTGCTCTTATGAAAGCAGTTTTAACCATGCTCCTGGTGATATTTTGGTAAGCAGATTGTTTAAATTGAGTCTTGATTATGGAAACTGCAGGTGGACTCACAGTTACTTTGAAAGCTTTACTCAATTACTGTTCGTCAGCTGCTAGGGCTGGGCATGCCCCTCAAGTCCTATTCTGGATAGTAATAGTTCAGTTATCTGAATCAGCCTGAACTCTCCCTGAGATTATTCAATTCCAGCCCAATGCCTGGCTTGTGATCCAGAAATACAAAACTTCAAAAATTCCTTTTGCTTGTGTTTGAAAACCCAAATAACCATGTTTGCTGACATACATGAATGACAATTGGATAAATGCAATCCAGTACAATCCTATAATTCTAAAGGATAAGATTAATTCCAAAAATTCTTATACATTTTATTCCAGCTCCCTTACGGATCATTCTTGCCATTTAAAGGTTCCAAAATGCTATTCCCTTTTCTGTACCAAATGGTCCCAACTGAATCCTACCAGCAAATGGGAGTTGTGAGATTATTTCAGCATTTTGGATGGAAATGGGTTGGGGTTGGTGCTGTGAATGATGACAAAGGGGACAGGTTTTTACAGACAATGATGCCAATGCTTGCTCAAAATGGAATCTGTTATGCCTTCATAGTAAGAATGCCAAAATGGGATTATGTGGAGGAGATGATAGACTTGATTTTAAAGCAGTTTAAAAATTATGAAGTTATCTTTGAGAATAATGCCAATATATTTTTTGTATATGGAGAACCTCCATCCTTTCAGATTGTGAGGATATTTATTTTTCTAGCAACCTATATGGAATGGCCTCCCCTTGGTAAAGTGTGGATTATTACATCCCACTGGGATTTCACATCAGTGTCCATTCAGAAGACATGGGATATGCAAACCTTCCATGGTTCCATATCCTTCACTGCTCACTCAAATCAGCCACCAAGCTTTCAAAAATTTCTTAAGGAGATAACGCCTTTTGGGGTGAAAGGAGATGGATTTATCCAGGACTTCTGGGAACAGGCATTCAGCTGTTCATTAAAGAAGCAGGAGGAAGCCTATAAGGAAACATGCACTGGGGAAGAGAAGCTGGAGAGCATTCCTGGGATTTTATTTGAAATGAAGATGACTGGCCATAGTTACAGTGTCTACAATGCTGTCTATGCTGTGGCACATGCTTTGCACAACCTATACAGATTGAGATTGAAGCATAGAAGGTTGTTAGAAGATTGGAGATTGGTGTTGCAGAAGGTGCAACCATGGCAGGTTATTACAACTCTCATTCATTCATTCATTCATTCATTCTCTCTCTCTCTATTTCTCTCTCTCTCACTCACTATTCACTCAAAATATTTGGGTGTTGTCAGGGAACTGCCATCGGAGCCAGAGGGAGAGGGAGGGCTCCAGAGGAATTACGGAGAGCGTGCCAGGAGGGAGAGAAGCAGCACATCTTCTGGGGAAGGAAATCAGCGTAACACCAGTGGAGAAGGGGGGCAGATGGGGGAATCGGCGAGGTGGCTCCGAGACTCTTCGCCGGGAGCCAGTGGGGAGAGCCTGGGTCCTCTGATGCCCACACCCTCCCTGTGCAGAAGGCTTCCGCGCAGGGAGGCTAGGAGGAGACTAAGCGTCAAAGAGCTTCTTTGCTGGAAGAAGTTCAAGAAACGCCCACTAACGGATACTGCCAGCGATTGAGACAGTCACAGGCGCGTGGCTGTCCAGACAGAAAGGGTTCATACAGGCAACCAGCCAAGAGTGGCGTTGATTTACACACGCAACCCCTAGAACTATTACAGGTGTTCTTTCTGTTTTATGCTGTTCTCATTTATGAATCCATATAGATAATTAATGATAGTTTTATTATAAAATAGTGAAGTTTGAAATTGAGACAAATGAAGACAACTAGAAACATAGAATCACAACAAATACTGTCCAAAAATAAAATGTAGTATGAAAGGCCTTTGTAAAGCTCAGTGAAATCATTTCAAAGACCTAGTTCTTCCTTTCTTTGGATTTTTTTTGAATACAGATCCATCACTTTCTAAAGCTCATCATATTCAATAACAGTGTTGGAGAAACAATACATTTTGATGACAGTGGAGAATTAGTAACAGGCTTTGATGTTACAAATTGGATGATGTTTCTGAATGCGTCAGTGGTTAGAGTAAAAGTTGGAACACTAGATCCTCAGGCTCCTCGAGGCAAAGAGTTAACCATTCATGATGACCAAATTATCTGGCACCAAAGCTTTAATCAGGTGAGACATACTGAAAAACTATTGAGTATATACAGTAAGAGACAAAACGTTCATCATACCAGTTCATTCTTCTGACTCCGCTTTAGGTACCAAAATATGCCGGGTACTCTAAAGATCCTCCCTTTCATTCTAAAGATGTGTAGACAGACTGGTGACATCTCTTTGATCTTTACCTGCATTTTTCAGAGAATCTTCCAGTTTATTGGATTTTTTCAGATTTTTTAATAAACAGGATATCTTGAGACACACACCCCTGCAAATTGCTATTAGAATTGCTCCTGTATAACCAGGTTATTTCATGTGAAGCAGATTCAGTTGTTTTTGTTACATCTTATTGGAAAAGATCACTGAAATCTCTTCATACTTCCTAAACTCATTCTCAATAATAAGGGGCCTTTTTCACCTTGCTAGTTATGTCTATGTTCTGGGCATAAGAGCAGTTAATCATGTTTAACTGGGTGTGGGGAGAGCAGCTCTGAATAGGTTTAGGCTTTATAAATGTCATTTCATTTCATTGGTAAATCGTGTCCATATAGGAAAAGAAATAGCTCAGACATGGAATCACATACCACCCTCACTTATGGGTTCCCCCTGGAGCTCAGTCCTATACTGATAGCTTCAGTAAATGGACAGAACTATAGGATTGGATGAACTAAAGCTCCCTTCTTTCACTATTTCCAAAAAACAAACAACTCCCCGTCCTCACATTATTTCTGAACATCCATCATGTTTCTGCGCAGGTACTACCAGTTTCTGTGTGTAATGACAACTGCTATCCTGGCTACAACAGGAAAAAAAAGGAGGGAGCAAAATTTTGCTGCTATGATTGTGTGCCGTGTCCAGAAGGGATGATCTCTGATAAGAAAGGTGGGAGACAGAATAATAGCAAAAACAATTACAATAACAATAACAATAAGCTTAGTATTTATATGCCACCCATCTGACTGGGTTGTCCCAGCCACTCTGGGTGGCTCCCTTCAAAAAATTAAAAATACCAAAAAAATCAAACATGACAAACCTCACTATGCAGGGTAGCAGGAGTCTTCTAAAAGACAAACATTTCCTTAAAATCTGATGGGATGGCATTCCACATGGGAAGTGCCTCTACCAGGAAGGTCCCATGCCTGGTTCCCTGTAACTTCACTTCGTACCAGAAAGCCCGTGAAACTGAACCTCAGTAGCCAGGATGGAGATGCTCCTTTGGGTATATAGCCCCGAGGCCATTTAGACGTTGAATTTTGCTTGGAAATGTACTGGGTTCAATGTAGATTCTTTAGGTCTGGTGTTATATGCTTCCAGCAGCCAATCCCAGTCACCAGTCTAGCTGCTGCATTCTGGATTAGTTGTAGTTTCTGAGTCACCTTCAAAGGTAGCCCCACACAGAGCACATTGTAGTAATTCAAGTGGGTGATAACTAGAGTATGTACCACTCTGGTAAGGGACCATTGCCCACCCCTGGATGGCAGTGGTCTTGTGAATCATTGACCTGGCATTGCACAGTGCCACTTTAAGGTCATATGGGACACCCTTGTTAATACATGCATCCTTCTGGTCAGACCCAGAGGTAAGAATATTCTTCAGATAATGACTAAACCTACCTCCTTGGTAATGCCATGATCTGGCCCTCAGACAACTCCTGCCTGTGATCACTGTGATCAGATGTCCCAATACAACTCCCCTACCGGAACCTGCCCCAGCCATTCTGTTCACCATGGCTTACTCCCGTAGCAGCCTTCCCATCCTCCCCTTAAAAACAAATTATAAAATTAACTAATTTAGAAAATGCTAGACCCTCCCAAAAATATTTAGAAAATACTAGTCAAAATAATAAATAAACATATATAGAAATATCCAGCCATCTTCATGACAAAAGATATCTAGTGTTTATTTCTTAGGAGACTGTAAACTGCATGGATATAATGGAGGTTTAAATCTTAAATAAATATTTTTCAAACAACACAGTTCATTTTTTATCATTTTAAAAGAACTGCAAGAGAACAAAGGGATATATTCTCATAAGGTTTTAAGATTTCTTAGACAGGTGCTGTTCTGCATTTGGGAATATTAAAATGACTCTTCCTCTTCTTTAATTTTTATTTTTGAAGACATGGATTGCTGCATTAATTGTCCAGAAGACCAATATGCCAATGAAAACCAAACTCAGTGCATTCCAAGGATTATAAGCTACCTTACTTACAATGAAGATTTGGGGATCATCTTATTTATTATGGCTATTTCTCTCTCTTTTGTCGCAGCTTCAGTTCTTGGAATTTTTATGAAGCATAAGGAGAGTCCAATAGTAAAAGCTAACAACCGGAACCTCACCTACATCCTTCTTGTTTCCCTCCTCCTTTGTTTCCTCTGTTCCCTGCTCTTCATTGGACAGCCTGGAACGGCAACCTGCCCTCTCCGACAAACAGCTTTTGGCATCATCTTCTCTTTGGCCCTCTCTTCTGTATTGGCAAAGACCATCACTGTGGTTCTGGCCTTCATGGCAACCAAACCAGGTGCCAAAATAAGGAAATGGGTTGGCAAAAGAACAGCAAATTCTATTATCCTTCTCTCCACTTTTATTCAAGTTGGTGTTTGTACTCTTTGGTTAAGTACCGCTCCTCCATTCCCAGATACAGACCCACACTCATTCTATGGGGAAATCATACTAGTTTGTAATGAGAATTCAGCTACCATGTTTTACTGTGTTTTGGGCTATATGGGCTCTCTAGCCATTATCAGTTTCATTGTGGCTTTTCTAGCCAGGAAGTTACCTGACAGTTTCAATGAAGCCAAGTTCATCACTTTCAGCATGTTGCTGTTTTGTAGTGTGTGGTTATCCTTTGTTCCCACCTATCTGAGCACCAAAGGAAAATACATGGTGGCTGTGGAGATCTTCTCCATCTTATGCTCCAGTGCTGGGTTACTGGGTTGCATCTTTTTCCCTAAATGCTACATCATTGTGCTGAGGCCTGACCTAAATAGTAGAGAGCATATAATGCAAAGGAAAATATGAAAGAGTTCTGTCTTCATTTTTTCTTCTTCTCTTAGATGCATTTTATTGGAAGTTCACCATTATTAGTTTCTCTGAGTTCTGCTCCTGATCTGAACAGTAGGGAGCGAGTTATAAGGGGGGGGGAAATGAAAACATATATGCATCTCTTTCTTGTAATACTACTTAAATGTATCATTGGAAATGCTTTTGCTAAGGATCTCATGTGAATTCAAGCATGGGAGCTTGATTATTCCTATTTCTTCTATTACTACTACTACTACTACTACTACTACTACTACTTTTTTTAATTTCCCAGCCACTCTGGGCAGCTTACAGCATATATATAACAACATAGTGAAATATCAAACATTAAAACCTTCCCAATACAGGGCTGCCTTCAGATGTCTCCTAAGAGTTGTATAGTTCTTTATCCCCTTGGCATCTTAACACAGGGCGTTCCACAGGGAGGGCGCCACTGCCAAGAAGGCCCTCTGCCTGCTTCCCTGTAACTTTGCTTTTCACAGTGAGGGAACCAGCAGAAGACCCTCAGAGGAGGACCTCAGTGTCAAGGCTGAACAATGGGGGTGGAGATATAAGAATGCTACTACTATTACATTACCCACCATTCACCCTAAGGTCCCAGGTTTAGTTACAACTATTAAAACACAATGATAATATTAATACACAATTGTATGCAATATGAAAAACAGTTTAACAACAGAATTATAAAGATAAGGTGGGTCCTAAAAATAGACATCTGAAGTATCAAATGCCAGCGTGAATGAGTGCATCTCCAGCATTCACTGAAAGCTGTATAATGACGGTGCTAGAAACCCCTCTGAGGAAAGTGAGTTCCACAACTTAGGGGCTGCTACAGAGAATGGCCTCACCAATTTCAGCTCATGTTGTATCTGTCTAGCAGGCTCTCTGCAGTAGTAGAGTGTTACCCTTAAAAAAGCTTTTAACAATACAGAATGCCCTCACCCAGGCTGCCAGCCACCAAACATACGAGGCTGGAGGAAATAACAAGAGTGAATAATATACCAATCTCAGTACCAGAGAGGATATGTAGTGAGGCGTTCTCAAAGTAAAGGAAGGATTGAACTCTGATTAATAAGAATACACACAGAGGCTAAAACCAGCAAGACTCTGGGAGGGGTGCGTATAATAATCTCTCTCCTTCTACCCCTCAGCCCAGGTTGTTTTATTCACAAAAGAACTTTTTACAGAGTGTTCGTAAGAACCAATCAGATTTCTTTTGAGCATTTCAACAAACCCCACATGGGGACAAAGTTAAACTACAAACACTAGTTAGGCATACATATTTTGGGGTAAATGAATGAAAACTACAAAGGAGTGCATTCAGCAACCCCGGAGGTCATAAACAATCAATACACATGATAAGAAGGATGGCCAGGAGGACAGCGATCATTATCACCTTTATGTGAAACCTGTTTCCTGGCCCTAAGATTAACATCCTAAGATTAACATATCAGAAAAGCAGCCGTGTTGGTCTGCCATAGTCAAAATAAAAAAATTCCTTCCTGTAGCACCTTAAAGACCAACTAAGTTAGTTCTTGGTATGAGCTTTCGTGTGCATGCACACTTCTTCAGATACATCTGATGTTCTTCAGATGTATCTGAAGAAGTGTGCATGCACACGAAAGCTCATACCAAGAACTAACTTAGTTGCTCTTTAAGGTGCTACTGGAAGGAATTTTTTTATATCAGAAAAGCTACAGCAAAGAAACTGCCCACTGTCTTTGATGACGCAGGACGCCTGCCTGTCGAAGTGGGTACATGACTTGTGAAGAAAGAGAAATGGAACAGGGATGCAGAGGTGTGGATTGATCAATAATCATATCAAGATAGTTTAAACCCAGTCAACGCAATGCTTTCATTGCTGACATGGATGGCTTACTCTATATTTGTTATAATTCCTCATAGCAATCCCACCTGATCACTACAGTGTAGGGAATGGGTCCTTGGTAATTTAGGACTTTAAACACTGATGTGAGCACCTTGAATTGGGTGAAGAATCAAACTGGCAACCAGTTCAGCTGTTTTAAAACAGAGGTCATATAAGATCTGAAGGAATTCCCAGCCAGCAATCTGGCTGCTGCAATTTGGACCAAATGAAGTTTCTACAGCATCAAAATGCATTAGGAGGTCAAAGAAAACAAGCAGGATGGAACTATCTGTATCTCTCTCCTGATAAATGTTATCAACCAGGGTGGACTTCCGGGTTGGCGCGACTGGCTAATGGCGGATTCCCTCCGAGCTCCGGAGGGAATCGGCTCAGCAGGGGATCGGGTCTTACCGTGCCGGCGACACGGGGACCCTCAAAAACCACGGACACGGAGGCCGTGGACATGGTGACTCGGCGGGCACCGTAAGCGCCCCCCCCGACTCGTGAAGGAGCCTTTTTAAAGGCTACGGATTGGGTGCCAGGGAGCGGCGTGGTGCTGTGAGTCTTCCACTCCCCCTGCCGAGCGAAGCCGCATGCCATTCTTCAGTCAGTGCTGACTTCTTCCTGCTAAATTTGGACTTAAAAGCAAGAGCAACAACCCGTGAGTAATTTGAAAATTGGATTATAAATTTTTCGGTTTGGATTCGGTACGAACGGGGGAGCCGAAAAAAAGGGAAGTCCGTCTCCTCCATATTGTTAACAGCGCAAAGCAAGGACCTGTCAACTAAAGTTGCGGGAAAAACTTGTGTGATTGGCTAAAAGATATAAACCTCACGGATTTAAAAGAACTAAGTTAAGGTGCTGGAGGACAACAGATTACTTTGTTTGAATAAAGTACCACCCTACTCAAGCCCGGGAGCAACCCGAGTTAAGAGCCTGCTGAGACATAGATACTTTTGACAGCTGTCAAACTAGCTGTCAAAGCTGAAAGAACTGAAAATTGAAACTTTAACCGACTAAATCGTTACAAAATATTGCAAACAAGGAAAGATTGTTACAAACAAATTTGACTTTGGGATCGGAGAGGGAAAGATCACTAAGTAACCAGAATCCCTCTAGAGGGGATTCTTGGATATTGCAAGAATGGAACTAAAACAAGGAATGCAGGAAATACGTGCTGGCTTGGAGAAGCTGACCTCCCTCGTGGGAAAATTGTTACAGATGAATGAGAAAGGCCTTGTTTTGTCTACGAGCCCACCAAACCCGAAGCTATCTGAAAACACACTAACTGACTTGGAAAGGGACTCGCTGTTCAAAACACAGGCAGCTGGACAAGGAAAAGAACCTAGGATTGAGGAGGAAAAGACATCTGCCAAGCAAGAGGAGCTGAAGGAAGCGAAGGCCGAGACATTACATAAGAGAGAAGAGAGACTGAGATCTGCTAAGAAGAAACCTAAACTGACCAAGGTGAAAACAGGACTATTTGGGACATATAGACTTATGAAACAGCGTTGGAATACTGGTTACAAGCAAGCAGGCCCAGCTGAAAGAACCATGGCCAGCATTGAGAAAATAATTCTTCGATCCTGGGAGCTAAGTATGAGAGACTTTCAAAGAAATCGGCTGAAAGGAACTGTGAGAGATTTGCGTGCCTCGGACGTGAGATCACCAGGCTAAAAAGATGGAATAAATGTACTTCGATTAAGGATTGAAACCGGGGGGAGAAGGGTGGGATTTAACAGTCCGAAGGGGGCTTGGAATTTTCTTTTTTTCTTTTTATAGAATAAAGATTAGCATTATAAGAATGGGGAATCCGTGGGAGGGAAATAGTGGCAATTTTAGGAAAGGTATCTCTTTTTTAGATTTATGCTTATATCTTTGTTTGTTCTTTCATTTCTATATAGAGGGTTAAGGTATATACGCTAATAAAATGTTAAAGTACAATAATGAACTAAAGTATAACTTTATAACTAAAATGAATCTAATTAAATTAGGGTTAAGTGATTTTAATAAAATAAGGTTCAGGATGTTCAGGGGAAAAACTTGCTAGAATAAATAAATTGGAGTTGGAAAACAATGGGAGGAGATGTGGGGAAGTTGTGAAAAGAAGTTATTGAAAATAAGCGTGAAGAGGTGAATCTCTTTTTCTTTTTCTTTTTCTTTCTTTCTGTGTGTTGTATGTTTTTCTGTTTTTGAGTTTTGATTTCTTGTCTTTTTTTACTTTATGTAACCTTTTTGGAAAATTAATAAAGATTATTTTTAAAAAAAAAATGTTATCAACCAGGGTGACCAAGGCAGTTTCTGTGCCATGATCAGGCCTCAAGTGAGACTGGAATGGATCCAAGGAAACATATCTGCTAAAAATCTTCTCAGTTGACTTGAACCAGGCACAACCCACCTTAAACAGGTTTCATGCCTTCATTTTTCTGTATTGTGTACTCGCCTATACCAAAGATGGATATAGGGTTGCATCTATCAGCTCTTTGTAATATAGGAAAGCTCTACTGTTGCTAGTAAAAAGGAAGACACTGCCAGGACAGTTCTTCTGATGTCTCTCCCCACCCACATATTTTGTTTGTTTGTTTTTTGTTTGGTTCTTTTCATGAACCTGACAGAAACATCATTATACTTTACATATCCTTCACTCCAAGATCAGTTGTAGAAGAAGGAATGCAGGCCAACCAAGCCTATCTATCTTTGAAGAGTTTTTGCTACAACCAAGTATCCTGCCTTAGCTTCAAATGTGAGCCTTTTCCTTTGGAATTGGGGACTGAATAGAGATTTTGACCTATTCTGTATTCAAAAGTAGCATGTAAGAAGTCCAGCTCCTGCTCAGAGTTAGGACTATAATGTTTGAGTGATGATGAGTGAACCATGAGATGGTGGACAGGATTATAAACTGAAGGCTCAGAATGAGGAAATGGGTGAATAAAAGAGAGTCCATTGGTCTTTTCTACTCCTTTATTGAAAAAGGAATGTGGTAGGTTCAGCACAATAATTAACCTCCACTCCAAAACACTGACACCTACTTCCTATATTTAGGTGAATCATAGAATTATAGAATTGTAGAGCTGGAAGGCTCATATAGTCTAACCCCCTGCAATGCAGGAAT